GTCCTCCAGTAGCTGCTGCCCTCCCGGCCCTTTTCCAGTCGAGGGCCCCCCGCCGCAATCTGCCGGCCCTCCCCGACCTCGGCGAGGGCAGGGGTTGGGGGCGGGGGAGACGGGGCTGGGGAGGGATTTCGGTGGGGTGTGAAGGGACACCGGGCGGGCGAGGGGGGTTGGGAAAGCAGCGGCAGGCAGCGGAGGAAGGAGGGGCGGTGGGGACGCGGGGGCCGGGCTGGCGCCTCCCGGGGGGCTCCCGCCGCCGGCGCTCACGCCACTGCCCCTCGGGCAGAAGCACCCCCGGGCCGCCCGCAGCCCCACCGGCAATTTTTTGTAGGGAGGGCTCCCCGGCTTTTTTTGGGTCGGCGGCGGGAGGGCGGCGCGCCCCGCACTCCCGGGCCATGCGGGGTCTGAGGGTGCGGGCGGGCGGCGCTGCGGGCGGCGGGGGGCGGTCAGGGGCTTCCCCACCGCCGCCGGCTCTCCTGCGCATCCACGCCTGCGGGCTGAGCCTCACACGTTTTTCCAGTGCATGAACCCCACCCAAAGAAAGCATCCGACGGAAGCGGCTGTAGGAGGGAAGGGAGCCCGGAGGTGAGCCCACGAGGTGTCCGACACCCCGAAGCCATCAGGCCACCTTTGCCTCCACAGCCGCGCTCCCCGCTGGTACCCACCCACCGCTCCCGCTCTCCTGAGGAGTCCAGAGCGGCGTCAAGCTCCGGCATCGGCTGGCTCAGCCCTGCCTCAGGCAGGCTAACCCAGCCCAAGACCTTTCCCAAGGCAGATGTCCTCCCTGCTCAGCCCCCCAAAGGAGCCTGTCTCCTACACGTTGACAGGCTTATTTAATCATTGGGCAGCAACTGTTGCCTGCAAATGGGAAAAAGAGAGGGGAGAGCGTCATCTATTAGTTTTAAAAGCCTCCCCACCCATTTTTTTAGTACATCACATTGACCTTCCAGTCAGTGCCCCACTGGACATAAATGAACTCAATTCACCCCAGAGTTTTGTATTCAAGCACCCAACTGTAAGGGAACAGTGTCTATGCAAACCCAAGTTCTACTACTGTCCTTAAATTATCTGTTGGTTTAGTCGTATGTTCACGGAACCTGTTTTATGATCCCATAAATGCCATTAAATCTGTTATGTTTTAGCAGGTAGTGCAGTCTCTATCTGGGGACTGACAGAGTAAATCAGGAGTACAGAAAATTTACATTTTGGAGTTAAAATGGTGTATCCAAGGACACCCACCACTAGTGTAGATTTGACTCCTTTGGTGGGGCATGTCTGCTCTTTTTGAAAAAATACTACATGATGAGTGGAAAAAGGATAATTTCCCCCATTCCCAAAGGGCAGTCCTCTGTGTCCACAGGCAGGTTTTTTAGGATGTGTCAAAGAAAAGGCAGCATTTCATCTGTGATGCTAATGAGCAGCACTGGTCACTATTGCTCTATTCTTCCTCTAGGACTTGGTAGCTCCCATCAAAGGCAGCCCCACCACTTCTCTCCAGGATACTTCTCATCACATTACCCTGTTGAGCCATTCTTATTTTAGGACAACTCCTTACACTTAAGAGAGAACACTGACCACAGCCAAAGTGAGTTTAAGATTTTGTGTTCAAATATTCTCAGTGTTGTTTTCTGTTAAGTTTAGTTACACCTAGATCAGAGTTTAAAACAGCAACTAACCATAATGCAGGTACTCTTTCCAAGGCAAGGAAAGGTTTGCATCTGTCACTTGTTTAGTCATTGATGGGAATTTCTGATGTCAGGAGTGTTGTGTTTTGCTGTACCTAAACCTTATTTCCAATTTATTTCAGGGATCACGTAAAAAGGGTTATGGAAAACAATAGATATCCTGGAAAGACTAAGTGCTGTGTTTAGTATTTAACTGCAAGAAATGCTTCACATCTTGCAACAAAGCAACAAAACACCCCTTTTATTTTATTATGTTGTTAGTATTTCTTAATTTATTTTTTAAGATTATTTTTTAATTTTAGATGTACTTCTTCAGGACTTTGTATCCTTAAAGTGCATAAAAATAAAATTATTATTAATAATAAAGATATAACCTATAAAGTTGGGTTTGGGATTGCAAAATCTTTGAAAAACATATCAGAAAATGCATTTGTTAAAAAAATAGTAAATTAACACTAGCAAGAAGAAATTAATAAAGGAGAAAATGATAAACTTTTGAAGTATAATGCAGATATAAAAGAAAACATTAGGATTATTAGTTTAGAAATTGAACAGCTGAAAATAAACCCTAGATTTTGTATATATTTTAAATTTTGACTGCAAGTTTGACAAGTCTGATGTTTAAAAACAAAAATAGTCATTTGATAACCACATCTCAAAGGTGTTCAGAGCTTTCCACTGCTTGACCTACAACTTCAGAACTGCAAAGCATGTCCTGGCTTGTTTTCACCAGGCTCCAGGGAAGTTTTCAGATGAGACTATGCATGCAGAGATACAGTGTCTCATGCTATACATTTGCAACAAGATGTCCAATGTAAAAAAAAAAAAACCAAAAAAAAAACCAAAGCAAACAAAAACCCGAACACAAACCCCAAAAACCAAACCCCAACATTTTGTACAAGAATAAAACTAAATCAATTGCAACTTTATTTGCAGCAGATGGAAACACTGTCTATGCAACAGGGTTCTTGTGGGGATTTAAGGTATAAAAATCTCATATCTTTTTCACTCATTTTTTTCAGTCATAATTTAGAGATAAAACAAAATATACCCTTAGGCTACAGTTTGTCAAGTTTTTTGGGGTTTTTAGCTCTTCTTGCACAAAACAGTTTTCAAATTGTCTGGAAGAATATATGGGGCAAACATTGTTTTTCTTATAGGGAAAGAAAGGGTTGTTCCATCTTTCCTAATTATTAAGACAACTGAACTTTGAAACTTTACATTTCACTGCTTCTCACTGGAATACACCCATGAACCACTTCGAAGTTTGTTTTGAACCTCTGCAAGTTATTTACAGGACAAGGGAAAAACCATAAATTAGGTTGACAGCATTTGCATCCAGAAAAGTGATCTGGTTTGTTCTGTTTTTTAGAAAGCCAGCATTTGAAAATCCCCTTTGTAGATCATGAGTGTAACATTTTAGCCAGGCCAGGGAGAGATTTCCTAAGGAACTGAGGGGGCACCTGTTGGCCTTTGACTTGGTGGAGTCCGGAAACACTCTTGTCTTGTTCTTTTCAGTGCTTAACTCCCTCTGCCCATGTTTTTTCTCAAAGTAAACAACCACAACTTGCTGAAAACATGTACATCCAAACCTAGCAGTATTTCAGTGAATATTAGCTCCTTAAAGCTTAAGGCAGCATTAAAAGTGTGTAATTAAAATTAAAAAGTCAGGATATAAAAAAGTTACCTTCAATCAAGTAGTTAGACTACATGACTGATATGAAAATGACTGATATGAAACATCCCCCTTTACTCTTATAATCTTAGAAATATTTATTTAATTATTTTGATTATTTTGATTTTTTTTTTCTTTTTTTACTCTGAGGGAAGGCTGTATTTTTACTAACTTGCCAAAGCTGCAGGAAATTTAAACCAAAATTTTCTCCGTTTCAGGGTTTATTTAAGCAACTTGAACACTCAATTCAATTAAGTTACTTTATGTCTATGTTTCATTGATATCAGAAATGATATTTGGATTTTTTGTTGTGTTGAAAAAATTTAAGATCATATTTGACTAGAACCATATTTCAGTTCAAAATTAGTATTTCAGCATGGAGTATTAACATTAGAAACCACACATGGCTAAAAAAAAGGGGGTACAAAACACTTTTGAATATTTCTGGACTTCTCATTTAATGTAAGAAAGTAGACTGAAGCATGCAATTGACATTTTTTTTCACCCAAAGAACGAAAACAAACACATTTTGGCATTTCTTTGGTAATGCAACTTTGAATATTTTTTTTTACATTATTAACTTATGGCAAATAAGGCAGGTATTAGCTTTGCCTCTAGCTGTTGCCTGTGAGAATGTTTCACTGACTGTTTACACACAGGCTGGGGCTTTATCACAGGTCTGATGCAAGAAAGCTGAATTTTTTCTCTGGCCTCTGTGACCCCATTACGGTACTTTGTTAGTGTGCATTCTGTGAGCTCAGCCCCACTCCTACAGCATGACTATACGTTCAAACAATGGACTCAAAACAGGCTTGCAAAAAATAGCTTCAAACTAGCCTTGCAGGCTTAGTTTTACCTAAATATATAATCTTTTTCATGTTTTCTTAGTTGATTTCCTAACTTTGGTTTGAGTAGTACTTTAAAAGCATTTAAAAGCTCAGATAAACTGTTTACTGTTGCAAAACTTAAAAGAAACCAAAAACATTTCTAGAAGAAAAACCTGAATCTGAAATTTATAGAAACAACTACCTAGTCTAACATATATTTGTCTGCCTCCAGTTTTATCAAGGATTGCTCAATTGAGATGTAAATTGAGCTTTAAAATGGGAATTAATTAGCATGAAAGTAACGCTATACGTATGCACTTTAATTTTGTCAGACTAAGACTTGTATTTATTTTTACAGGCTTTGCCTTATGGGATTGCAGGGGATTTTTGTTTTACAGATCTCTCTTCTCCTACTTAAATACTTACTTTTGTAGAAGTTTTAGTTACTTGATCTTGCTCTTGAAAATAACTAGACTGTACATAAAATGTTTTAGAAAATAAGGTTAAACTTCATTGAATATTTACCTATCAGAGAACCATAACTTGGGGAAAAAATAATATAGGGAATTCCTTGTATAAACAGATTGTGCCAGCCATTTTATACTGACAATACCTACACAAATAGATCTCTTGCAATCAAAGTTCCCTAGCTTTTTATACCAAAAATATGTACACTATACTGAGGAATCCATTGCAAAGGAAACAGTTGTATAGTATGGCTTTCAAGAGAAACACAAAAGACTAAGTCTAATTTATTTTAAAGCATTTAAACAATAACTGAAATGACCTAATGAAATTATTCACATGTAAGCATTAATGTCTGCAGGAGGAACCAACAATCCCACTGCTCAGCCTTCAGCCTCACAGGTAGTTTTAAATTGCCATATAGTCTATAATTCACAGACTCAACTATTCAGTCTGCTTAAGAAACAGACTGGAAACAAAACTGGAATATATTTAACATTAGGATGCTTTCTGATCTTGAGAAAAATAATAAGTAGCAAATGATAAAACACATATTGTACTGAGAAAATAGACTAAATACAAACATTCATGACCACATTCTTGAAAGGATATACATATTAATGGCCAATTTAAACAGCTCTTTTTATGAATGTAACATTGAAATTGGAATGCTTATTCCTGATAAAATTTGAAAAAGACCAAATTCTTGCCTGATCTGGAAAGCAATGAATTCTTATCAACCTCCAACAACAGAACAAATAAATTTTAAGATATTCAAACAAATAAAAAAAAATTAAACTATGAAACTTTAGCAGCTACCATCCTCAATTTTGTTTTAATATAACAAAGTAACTAATTTACATCCAAATTAAGATTTTAAAAAATATTAATATCAAATTGTTACAGAGTTTATTCAAAGGCCAGCAATATGCTAGAGTTTTTAGAGGAAGAGATCTGATTTTTTCTTATTAATAAAGAATGGCTACTTGGAAAGAATTCTGGGCATCAAAATCTAACCAATACTATGTATCGAAAAGCAAATTTAACACTCCTTCCCTATAATTTTAAGATATGGACAGTCCTGAGGCTGAATTCACAACAGACCTATGATACTGCTGGCTGAAAACACTGTTATCGTACCAGTAAGGCAAAACAGATTCTGAAGAGGAGGGTCTCATTGTTCTCGCCAAAAGGATTTCATGCTTGGGTTGCTGCCCCATTTTACTCCCTTACTTGATATTTTTTTCCTCTTGGCGAAAGATCTCCTTGATGAAAGGAGGAGCAAACAAGAAATAAATTCTGATTTCTCTAAATTGTAAGAAAACAAAACCAGAACAAAACCCCATCTGAAATGAGTTACAATACACTGAACTAGTGAGAAACAATTTTACTTCTTAAATAATGCCTTAATTTTCAGTTCTCCACTCCTTGTAAAAGCCCCACAAAATATTCTTTAGCTAGAGGAAGCCATATTGGCAATTCTTCCTATCACTAGATCAAATAAACTTCTGATTTTGCCCATCTCTAATGTATATATTTATTTTTTTTACATACTCTTTCCAACACAATTGCAAAGATCTCAGGTTTCATCTATCAAACTGAAATATGATAAGTTCTATTTTGAAAGTCCCCTTTTAAATCCAGCTGTGCCAAGCAAAGTGAACCCTGATGAAAAGTTTATGTACGTATACATATTAAAAAAAAAAAAGACTGTAAGCTATTTTCACATCATTAAAACTCAAGTGATCAGATTTTTGTTTTGAAAGACCTGTTTGCAAATATTTGAAAGCTGAAAACAGGATAAAGCAAGCAGTCAGTACTTGAATAAAGAGATCCCTGGACAAAATGGGAAAAAAAAATACTTACTTTCAAATCAGCATGTAGAGATTCGTTGTAAGTCACAATCAGCACGTTTTATATACTGGAATACTTATTTAGAAATTGTTTGTATTGCTTTTGTGCAGTAACACTGTGATCACATTGCATTATAAAACAAAAAAAACCTCCTGTAACTTTCCGGTCAGCAAAACAGCACAGACAGCTAGCCACTTTGTAATTCTTTTTTATTGGAAAGAAACTCGAACAGAGCCGGCTACAATGTTTTATCTCAAGCCCTGAAACTTCCGATGCATCGTGCGATTTATTTGTTTCACTCCACACCGGCACCGCCGCCCGCCGCGCTCTCAGTCGCCGATTCATTGGGTTTTGCAGCATTTTGTGATCAAAACTTCCAAGCCGGAGCGGAGCGGGGCTGATCCCGGTGCTCCCGCAGGCATTCCGCCGAGCCCCGGCAGCCTCGCCGGTAGCGGCGGAGCCGAGCCCGGCCACTCCCAGCCTCGGCAGCGGGACCGGCCGCCAGCACCGAGGCGCCACCGCCTTCCCGACCTGCCCAGGCAGCTGGCGGTGCGCGCCTCGGGAAGGGCGGCCGGACCCGCCGGGAGCGCCGCTCGGGGCCCGGGAGCACCGATCCCTGCGGCGGCGGGGGGCCGCCTGCCGCCTCCGCCCCCCCAGAGCTGGAGACCTGCCCCGCGCGGTTATCCCAGGGCTCCCCGGTGCGGGCATCCCGTTCCCGCACGGCGGCCGCGCTCCCCTTTCCCGCACGGCGGCCGCGCGCCGCCGCTCCCTTTGTTCGCCGCCCCTCCCGGCGCGGCTGCGGCACGGCGGCCCCGGAATCGGCACCTCTGCGGCGTGGCACCCACTTACCGCCTTACAAAGACCCGGCCCGCCGCCGGGAGGGAGGGAGGCGAGAGGGAGGGAGCGGGCTGGCTCTTCCATCCCCTCTCATCCCGCCCCGTCCCATCCCGTGCCGTGCCGGCCCTGCCCTGGCCGCCGGCGCCGCGCCCCCCGCCCGTCTCCCATCCCCGCTCCCGCCTCCGCCACCCCCGCGCCCACCGCCGCTTTCGCGCCACGCGCCCCAGGGGCCGGCGCGGGGGCCAATGGGCGGCCGCGCCGCGGTGGCGGGCGGCGCTGGTAGGCGCAGGGCGCAGCCAATGGGAGGCGGCGCCGCCGCGCCGCTTTACTACGAGCGGCTATGGCCGCCCGCGGGGGCTGCGCGCCCCGGGCACGGCGGGAGGGACGGGCGGGCGGGCGGGCGGACAGACGCGGGGGGAGGGCGCGGTGGGGCCGGTCCGGGCGGGTCAGCGCGGTTGTCCTGTCCTGTCCTGTCTTGTCGTGGCGGGTGCCCGCCCCGCGAGGACCGGCGGCTCCGCGCCCGCGCCGCCCCGGCGGAGGCAGCGGCGGC